TCCGCTCACTAAAAAAACAGTATAAGTCATTATATTTCGTAATTATGTCCCCACTGGATGCAACAAATGCCTCATATGTAATGGGTTTTCATGCTTTTGAATCATCGCTCCGGCCGGACAGGGCATCACAGTATGGTAAGGGGCGTAACATTTCCGTCACATGCTTCTGTGCACACCTCGCTTTACAGACCGATGAGCTTTGTAAAAATCGGAGCGTTTCAGAAAGGCGGGGCATAGAGGAGAAACAATAATGTACAGTATGTGGAAAATAATGTGTTTTTTTAACTTTAAACCGCATAAACACATTTCATTACACCAAATACACAAAATAATGTTATTTTTAGCAACATCATATGACCCCTTTAAGCACTCATGACAGACATTACCTGCATTCAGAGGTGGACATGGGGCCCCATCTGATATTGTCGAAACAAGTTTGGCAAATATTTTTTCATAGGTTCGTAGGACACTGATTATTTATCACTTAAACCCCTTTCTCCACCTGCCCGTCGGTCTCGCATATCTGCCATAGTTTTTTAAAAAACATTTTTTATGCATGTTTGTAGCATAGACTGTAGGTTTCTGAAGAGCATTTTTGAAGCCCAAAGTGGGCGGAGCCAGCCGGCGGTTGGTATGGAAGATATTGGCGGCTAATATTTGAACGTTTCCAGCTTACTCTTGAGGTAAAGTAACCTGAAACTACACAACAAACCTTGAAATTACTATTTATCTGTTATTGATATTATCAGGGCTCTCAAGTCACAAGCATTCTCACACACACACACACATACTTGGTTTCACTATCTGGAATTAGCTGAGATGACGTGACGGCTAACAGACAGCAGACAAATGGCTAGTAGTGACAGCAGCTGTAATCCACCTGTCACTTAAGTGGCCACACCCTTAATTAAGCAGAACTGTATGGCTTAATATAATTTAAATGGATGAGTTATAAAAAAAATTACCCCCCTCACAGTTGTCCTGAAGGGCAAAATTAGCTATATACACCAAAACCACTTTTTTTACCAGGCTGTAAAAAAAAATAATTCTGCTGTAAAGTTGTAGTCTAGTCACAGTTGTTCATCTTGAGTCTCGTCGAGTCACAACTGATATTCATGAGTCTCGTTAAGTCACAACTGATCGTCATGAGGCAAGTCAGGTCACAGTTGATCTTCCTCAGTCAAGTCTAGTCACAGTTGATCTTCCTGAGTCGAGTTTAGTCACAAAATGTATGTACAATTTTTTTTGAATATATATTTATTGTATTTAATTAACAATAATTTGTACCATTAATTTGTGTGCAGCCTACATTGAAAACAGTCCTGGTTAAAGTGTAGCCTTAACCCTTTCATGCATGAATGATTAAATCACAAAGTAAGATTTTTTTATATTTATTTTTTAAACCAGCGAAAAATCATGCAAATAACTTTTTTCAATATATTTTGTGGTCAGTGTGTCAGTGTGTCCAGCATCAAAAAATTTTGCTTCATACACTAATTTGTGCATCTGGAACTTTAGGTCCTGCCTGGTCCTCAATGACAGCGTCCTGAAGTCCTCCAGGAGGCTTTTAAAAAGTAAGCTGTCACTGTCCTCCTGAGGAGCGCTAGCTCTCTTACTTACAGCCTCTAAAGCTGTTAGCATCCTCTCCTCAAAATCTGTGCTGCTGTGTGCTCTCTTTCTCCTGTATGTGCGCCCTGTCTGTCCCTGTACACTGGGCTGGCTCTGGCTTGATGATCCTGCCTGTCCCTCAAGGCTAGCCTGGTCTTTTGGAGCATGTGGAGCATTTGGCCAGTCGATGAATTGCAGGTTAAGTCACTTCCTTTTTGGATTCAAGAGACCGGAAGGTTGTTGCTTGGTTTGTAGTTCTAATCGAATCCTCGTCCAACACACAATGTGTTGTGGGCAATATTATGCTGCGTTCAAGTCCTCCTGGGACGTTCGTACTTACGAGTTGACAAGTCGTAATTACGACGTCAGGTGTGTTCAAGTCAGTTTAGTCGGCACAAGATGGCGGTGTACCTTCTTTTAATAAATTACAAGAAAATACAACAGGGTCTGTTAACTCTGCTTATAGAAAATGAAGAGCAAAGAATTTGCATCAGGTGTGTTTTGCGTTTTTAATATTTTTTTTAGACCAGGATCCCAGTATAACTGATTTTCAGCATCAACAAATGCTAAAATACAGAGATTTAAAAAAGCTGTTAGCTAAACGCAAAATGGCAAATCAAAAGATTTTTCACCTATAGGTGCAAAAAATATAGCATTTTTTTTACTTGGATTTCATTAACTAGCTGCATAACAAGAACATGACCAATTTAAGTTTATAGGACAACTAAACTATCAATTTAAACAAAAATTTCCATCAACTACAGACGTTGCATCCATCGATTCCGC